GTGGAGACGACTGCCAAAGCCAGTCAAGTTTAAAAGCGGGTTGAGGAATGTGTTTCCTCTCTTTCACCAATGGTGCTCAAATCCCATTATGATCCTAACCGCCCATCTCAAAAAACTACTCTGGGGGTGAAAAGAAAAACAAAATAAGGAAAAGTTTCAACTAGAATATTCCATTCAACTATTTAATGTTAAAAGACTTGAAAAATATCTTTGATTGACTCGAAGAAGGTATGCAAAGAAGGTACGTAGAGGGTGATGGCTCCAGCATGCCCCTAAAGTTCAAGCAGCAGCAGCAGCACCTATTCTAGTGTCCCCTTTTTTCAAAATGCCCTCCAGCCGATCTGCCCTTCAGCAGCAGGCAGGCAAGTTTTCCCTAGAAAGGCACAGTTAGCACATCTGGAACCTCAGTCTCTCTCAGGCCAGACGCCTACCAGCCGAATTGCCCCTGCAACCAAAAACCAGACCAAAGTTTCATCAGTGAATTGACTGCTCTGTTTAACTCCATAACAGCAGTGTGATAGAACATGTTGACATTATTACTTGGTGAAGGGTAAAAATTCCCATCAAGAGTCTAATAAACAATCTATGCATGTGTAATAAAAGTACCAGCGGCCAAAAATTTGATTCCTCCTGGCTGAATCACTTTACCATCACAAAATAATTTAAGGTCTTTCTAGATAAATGACCTTTAGGCACAGGGGAGCAATGATAAATGGGAGGCTGCCGCACTGCCTCTTCCATCTGAGAGCTGCGTGGGATGACTCTGCTTTTTCACACCCTTGCAATCAATGTCACATTTCGACTCCCAAGAGAGAGGAAGTTCTGCATCCAGCATGTATGGAGCAAAACACAGTTTCAAGGAATATCAAATGCAATCACACCGACAAAGCAAGTGAAACACAAAGCAAAGAGCATCCGCAACAAGAATTAGCACAAACTGGAATACCACAGCGAGCTGGGCTCGCCTCTCACCTCAGAGCTGAGCAAAGAGACTCTTAGTTAATTAAGGCTCCACCCTGTGACTCGGGAGACCCAAATTTCTCTTTTTTCTCTTTTCCTGCACACTTCCTCATGTGACAGTTTACGGTACTTGATTTTTTTTTCCGCATCCTGTTTCTGCTTGTTCCCAGGCGAAAGAACTGCACCGACTTTTCACATCTTAAACGTTCAGTTTCGAGAAGCAGAAGGGGTAGGTGAGTGAGCACATAAAAGAAATGCAGATAACACTACTAAGATCCAGGATCCTTAAATTACTCCACGTGCCGCTCTCCGCCTGGCCGCAGACAAGTTTTACAACACACGAGACACCCTCTCGCTCGTTTACAGCCCTATGCCAGCGTGATGTCATGCGTGATGTCATGCTGCCAGGCGCGACACGAAAGCACACCCTGAACGCTCCCGATACGCTGCACAGAAAAAAAGCAAACACCCACGCAGCGGCTACGGTTCCTTCTTCCCACTAATTAAACAAGGCCCACAAGAGCGGGATGCTCTTAGGATACAGACATCCCTTCAGCACTCTGCAGCTGACAACGGTTACCTAATAGTCTGCGTTTTCAAATACAGATTTTTAGCACAATTCTTGCCAAGGAGCTTTTATTCCAGGCAAAGAGTAGAAAAAAAGTGAAACAAGGGGAAAAAAAAAAATTACGGTAAGAACAACACAAATAGAAAATAGGTCTCCAAAATTTCCACAAAAAAAGTTGAATAATTTTTTTAAAATGTCCAGAAGCTATAAAGCACTATACTAAAACCAAAATTAGTGCCACCAACACGCCATGCTTGGATCCAACTACCATAAAAGCTGGTTTCAAAGCCGCTGACGTTGCGTTTGGTCTTACAAGATGTAGTCAGAAACTTCTAACAGCACCTAAGTCCGCGTTTAATAACATAAATGGGATTTAGTTGAGATATTCTAACCACCTAGTGACAACTTTGGTATGCTTTATTAAACAATTCACACCTGACCTGTAAGGTAGGAGCCTTCACTGAAATAATTTTCTTTACAGCAATCCCAATCCTTAACTGGCAGCCTCTAAGCGTCCGATAGCTGATGAATTCTTCTGTGTTTTACTAATAGTTAATGTTTACACGTGCCGAAAGTGGAATCTGTACTGTAAAGGCAGGCTCAGCTGCCAATTTCAGTGCACAAAAGAACTGTTGAATAATGCACTCCACGATGCAATCATAATTGAGGCCAGCATTTTTAATTCACTTTCACTTTCAGAAATGTGAAATTATGAAATCATTAGTACTGTAGTTGGAAGTTATTCTGCATTTCATAAAACATTATTGAAGACGTGCGTGGTCATTTGCTTTAAGTAATACATCCTGCATTTTTCCTATATAGCTGTTAAATATACCACTAAAATACCAAAAATAGAACAGAAAAAAAGCTAGAGTTCAGTTGAAGCTTCTGGTCACATCATAATGTGCGCCATGTGACCTTTCCCCGCTTGTTTGTATGTGATCCCCTAGCAAATACTGCTCTCTCCTGTTCCCTAAACCTTCCGGTCCCCCTTACAGACAAAGAGCAAACGAAGCAAGCACACGTTTTCCGTGCACCCTGCAGGTACCTTGCACAGGCAGCACGATGCTGTAACACAACCGGACCTATTTTAATGAGCCAAAGGTTGGTTACAGAATCCAAACCCATGGATTTGGTTCTAAAGTCGCTTCGAGTGCCGCCTCGAGCTTTGCAGGCACAAAGGAAGATGCTGGAGCAGCGTGTGCTCCTCCTGCAGTCAGCCAGCCCAGGGACCTGCCACCAGCCCTCACCCATCTGATGACAGTGATGCCAACGAGTGAACTGGGAAGCTCTTTCCAGGAGGGCTTGGGATGACCCGTTCTGCTGCAGCTCATCTCCCGCTGCCAGAAAATGTACAGGCTGGCAAAACACAGCCAAGAACATGGAGAGAACTGAAATGCCAGCATTCAAATCCTCCTCCCCAGCACTCTGTTACCACAGGGTTCACCCTGTGCAAAGGTGTCCCCCAAAAGATCATTCTACAAAGTTTCTGGTGCTGCTGTTTCCTGCTCCATCAAGAAAAGCCATCCAAAGGGCCAATTCAGCCTGCACAGCCTCAGAGGCTTGGTCAAGGATGACAAAAGTCCTGCACCTCTGGGCAGGTGAGGAATTTTGTTAAGCTTTTTCTTCCAGTGACGTGAAACATTTCTTGTGTAACTTAGCACAACCAACGCAGCACTGGACAACTAACCGGAGGGAAAATCACTTCCATCCACGTGTGGACTACAGGCTAGTAATGATGCACCCCACGGCATTAAAAATACCAAGAAAGGTTTTATAGTTTATTTATAGTTTAACTTTAAGAAAATCAGGTTCCTAGTAACATCTTCCGCCTTACCCGGCTGCTACCTGACAATACAGGCACAAAACAAAAGAATTTTACACAGATGAATGTCCCATGAGTCAGTCGAGCCAGAAAACAGGATTACCAACGTACCGGAAGCCGTACCAACCGGATGGCTCCTCTGAACGCGCCCTCGAGCCCAGCACGCAGCCCTCCACAACCTGGAGCCAATAGCCTGGTTCTAACCCCATATCCATGCAGAAGATCCCTGCACCAGACAGCCAAAGCTACTGACTTTAACTTGAACTCATGTCCCCTAAAATATTAAAAAAAAAGGAAAAAAATAAAAAAAAAAAGAGAAGGGAAGTTTCTTGCAGGATTGAGGCCAAACAGAAAGCTATTTGGCATGTTTATTGGCAGTTTTGCAGTCCTGGTACAGACGGAAGAGTCGGATTTTGCTTTCCCCTTTCACACCTGAGGCACACAGGGAAGGAAAAAGTTCACTGTGATTACACACATGGTGCTCTTTTCATCACGAGAACCCAAAAACGTTTTAAGACTCCCTTTTCTGGGAGCGCAAAACTATTTTTAAATTAGTCAGAAAAAACAAGTTGCGTGGACTTTCCTCAAAAAGCTACTTAGGTCTCTGCTGCTTCCTCGTCTTCCAGAGCATCTACATGGTTATATTGTTTCCAGGCTTTTAAATTACATTTTTTGAGAACGGCTCCTAGTTGCTTCCCGGGCCCCACTTCATAGGTGTAAGGAAATTCTGTTCCTTGCTTTCTTTCGTATACAGAATGCATGGTCTGTTCCCACTGAACAGGTGAAACCACCTGCTTCACTAACAGCTTCTGAATGTGCTTTGAGTGCATGTACTTTTTGCCATCAACATTGGAATAGACACAGACCAGTGGTTTCTGAATCTCAATCGATTTTAGGACTTCGGCCAATGGCTCTACTGCTGGTTCCATAAGTCTGGTATGAAAAGCCCCACTGACCGGAAGCATTTTTGTACGTGTAAAATAATATTTTCGGGCATTCTCCTGCAAAAACTCCAAAGCCTACAAAAGAGAGAGAGATGTGAGAGTCTTGCACGACAAAGGTTTATTCAGCCACCCCACAAGAACCACCTCATCAGACTTACTGTGACAGAGGGATTCCTTTCCCTAGCCAACAAGTGAGCAAACGCCGCAAAAACACCCCACAGGTCAAATCCTTTTGTTAGGACGCGCTAAGGCCGTCTCTAACTTCCACAGAGAAGTGCAAAGTAAAAGTTTAAAAAAACCGAAACGTTGTTTTCAACTCAAGGGACAGTTATTCTGAAGCAATACCTGTAAGTGTCCTGCAATGACTCTGCTGTCTGGAAACAAATAGTTTGAAATTTCACAAACGGGGTTTTCTATACCCAGCGATTCACAGTGTTTACGGGCTTCCAAGCAGGCAAATCTGTAATTTGCCTCTCGCCGACCGACAACCGAGAGCATTCCACTGGGGACAGCTTCCGACGCCTTTTGCATGGCTTCGGCGCGCACTTTCACCGCGTACAGCGCTACGGAGAAAAACAGAGACGCTCGGTAAATACAAACCCCGAGAAAACGCCGATAAAGGCGCCCGGCCTCTGCGCGCAAGAAAGGGGGGCGGTTCGCTCTCGTGAAACGTCAATGCTTTTAATGCCGTATTACACACATTGAAGTGAACAGTGGAAGTGGGAAGTAAAATTGATCCTCTAATTAAA